TGGTAACAAGAGCCCAAGTGTTAACATTCTGAGCCCCAGCCTGTGGCATTATTTGGAGGTTGTTGAAGCAATAAGAGGTGAGGCCTAATAGAAAGACATTAGGTCATTAAGGAAAGATCTTGAAGGGAAAATGAGGGCCATGACCCCTTCCTACTGTTCTTAGTTCCTTTACAGTCACTTTCATCTCAACAGGCATCTTCTGCCACATCCTCCATATCATCATCATATGCAATCACAGTTCCAAAGCAATAAGCCCAAGTGAATATAAAACAAAACCTGTTATACCGTGAACCAAAATAAAGCTTTCTTCTGTTTAATATGAATGGCTCAGGAATTTAGTTAAGAGTAAGAAAATATTGAGGGATTGGAAATACTGTTCAGCAGTTAAGAGTGCTGGATGCTCTTACAGAGGACCCAGATTCAGTTCCTAGTACCCACATGGTGCCTAACAACTGTCTGTAATCACAGTTCCAGGGTTCTGATGCCTTCTTCTGATCTCTATGGGCATTGCATGACACAGGTACACTTACATACATGTAGTCAATGTACTCATATACATAAAATATAAAAATAATAAATACAATATTTGTATTGATTTTTTTTATTTCAAACAGAGCATCTCAATCAGTCTTAATCATCCTATATCCCCTGCCCCTTTGGCACCATCTCATAGCTGCCCCTCCACACTGGAATTCTTAGATACTGCCATTTGTCTTAAGGTCTATTGTGAAAGTTAGTGTCTCTCAGTGTAAGTTTATCTACTGTGGTCTAGTCAGCCTATCTAGAGTCTCTCATTCTAGGAAGACCAGCTCTTCCTCACCTAGCAAGTATCAGTTGCCAGTATTTCTTCAGCTAAGATTGGAGTCTGCTGTCCATTTCTCCAGTTCTATGTTGAGTTTTTTGTTTCCATAGGTCATGTGCTTGTTGACACCGATCCTGTAGGTTCATATGAGCTGGGTCCCAGAAGCTCATAGGACTCTATTTCCACATAGTCATATATCTCCTCCCTGGCTCTTATAATCTTTCTGCCCAGTCTCCCACAATGGTCCTTGAGGCCTGGGTGGGTGTAATTTAATATAGGAGTCATGTCCAAGGACTAGCATTCTGAAGACTCTTAGTCTCTACACTTTGGCCATTTGTGACCTTTTGTGGTTTTGGCCCTCTATTGCATGAGAAAGCTTCATTAATGAGAACTAAGATACAAGATATTGTGTTCTTTACCCCTTGTTTTATGTTCCATGAGCCTTAGGTTTAGAGGTTGCATTGTAGATGTGTCACTTAGACTTGGGCAATTCACAGACAATGTTTACATGTGATCAGTTGTAGTACTCTGTAATACTCTGGTACAAAAGAAGCGTCTTTGATAAGTGGTGACTAGGATATTTGTCTGCAACCATAAGGATGCATATTTTGCACATAGTAAGAAATTATATTAGTTTAAGGATGTGACAGTTTTTGGGTTTTCTCTAAGATCTATGACCTCTCCAAACATGTGTATTTGGCTATGTTTACAGTAGTACACATGAGTTTCCTCCCACTGAGTAGACATTTAGTTGAATTAGGTAGCTTTTGATTATCCCCAAGATAAAAGTGCCACTACTGAACCAATGATGTATTCTGTGATTATTTGGTTTTGAAGCTGGTGTCGGACCATTGATTGATGTTTTCCCTTGGCACCTTCATAGCATTCTCCAAAGCTATGAGGGCTAGCCTTCAGGTGAAGTGGTTTCCAGGTCAGTTCCAGCTCCATTGTTCCAAATCCTGTGTCCAAAGTCTGTTCTGTCTTCAGCAGTAGGGTCTTACCTTCACATTCTAGGAGACAATCAAGGGCTGTGGCAAAGTTTGTGTAATTCTTGGAGTCTCTTGGACCACCCTGGCCAAGAACTCAAAGGAAGGTTTGTCCTCCTGTCTGGTACTGTTTCTTATTAGAGATGTGATTAAATACAATATTTTTCAAAACTTTTTTAAAAAATAAAGAAAATACTAGGAGACCACCCAGCACTCAGAAGGTAGAGGCATGTAAACCTCTGAGTTGAAGGTCAGCATGATCTATAGAGTAATTTCTATGAAAGAGAACTCATGTGTGATACTACAAAAGCAACCAAATACTCATGGCTTTAGATGTCATACATTCTAAATAAAAACCTCTAGATTGGTCATATCCCTAGACCATTATGATCTCTTACTTTATTTTTGATCCTTATATTTTGCACAAGTGTGTCTCTTATCAAAGAAGCTTCTTTTTGCAAAAGATAGAGAATATTACAGAGTTCCACAACAGGTCAAACACAGAGACTAAGTTTCTGTGAAGTGCCCAGTCCTACATGACACACCTGCAATGCAACCTCTGCACCTAAGGCTCAGGGGACATGGTGGAACAGGGGGAAGAAAGATTATCAATGTATCTTATCTCTCATCTCTCACCAACAAAGCGTCCTAATGGAACAGATGGGACTAATGCAGAAGGCCACAACTAGCCAGGTACAGAAAAAAAGACTACAGAGGGCTCACACCTGAGTAAGACACCTATTTCAAAGTTCTGCTGCCAAGAATAAGGGACCTTTGGGGGAGGAAGTTTCAGAAAGACTGTAAGAGCCAGGAGTGGTAGCTGGCCACAAGGACACAGGTTTTTCTAGACAGCTGAAAACTCACTCATATGAACTTACAAAAATCTTAACAGCATGCACAAGGCAAGCTCAAGCCAGTCCGAATTCCAATGTAGTAGTGGGAAAGTGGAGAAGCCCCAGCTTTAGTTGAGGAAGAGAGAGAGAGAGAGAGAGAGAGAGAGAGAGAGAGAGAGAGTTGGTTTTTCTCTAAGGATGTGGCACCAGATAGGTTAAGCAGCCTCTATTGTATGGATGCACATTGAAGAACATTTGGGGACACAAAAGTGGCTTGATAGGGTTATATGTGAAAGAGTATATGAAATCTGGTGGGGGAACTGTAAGAAGGGTGAAGATAAGAGAGAAGATATAGCCAAAATATATTGTATGAAATTTGAGAAAGTCAATAAATGTATTAAATCCCTCAGGCAGCAGGATCTCCTGTTTCCTCCCAGAATCCTTGAGGATATTCTAGATTCCCTTTAATGCTGTAATGAAGAATGGGCAAGGACGCTGAGACCTGCATGAGCCAAACTTGCTATTGCTAATATATCAGATGTTGCACTTTTAATAGAAAATATATGAAAAAATCAACTTCTCTGGAGCATAGTGGTCCACACCTATCTCAGTGTTTGAAGGACAGAGTTGAAGCAGGAAGACCTTCAGTTTGAAGTCAGCCTATGCTACAGTAATGAGACTTAGTCTCACACCCACCACAAAGTAATACTTGCTTCTCAATAAAAACCGTGTCCCTAAAAAGTAAACAAATACACATTAAAATTATGCTACATATGGGAAAATAGTTTGTAATAGTGAAGTGCAATGAATCAAAGCACCGGGGAGGACAATGGAGATCAAAGTGCCAGCATGTGGGCTGTTTCTTTAGTAGTAAACAAAATAAGAACAAGCAGAGGTTTAGACACCTAACTATGACGTAGAAGCAATATTAAGAATGAATCTGAAAAGCATTATTGAAAGGAATATAATTCCTGCAAAGAGATAGTTACTCCATTAAAATTTGCATACTGTTTCCCTAACAGCAAATCCTTTTAATGGAAATGAGATTCCTGGTTTCTAGGAACTTGGAGCTGTGGAAGGCAGTGAACCAAAGTCAGATATAAGGGGACTAATAGTAATAATAGGAATATTCTCTATCTTCATCCTGGCAGTCTCTACAGTGCCACAAATATCTTTCAATATTTACCATTAATAAATATGTACCTCTCAAATGGATGAATTACTGGTGATGTTTAAAACTCAAGAAACATACCAAAGAAAACTGAGTAAATGGAACATATAATATGTTAAAATTTTAAGGAAATTTATACAAGCAGGGTCTAAATGTTTATATGTTATAATCATGACTTGCATTCATGACTGCTCTATTTTTCTTTTCCATACAGTTTATGTTAGCTGCCTAATCATTTAAAAACTCTTTAAACAAGGATACAGGAAAGTAGGAAAGAGCTGTCATTTGTCGTGACACTAAAATAGACAACATAAAAAAATCCATCAAGAATTATTTCCTAAAATTAGCATTTTATGTTACATATTGCTATTTAAAAGTACATGTACATAAAACAAAATATTACCTATCTAAAATCTTAATGGAGATATTAAATTAGAAACATGTCAACATTTTTTGGCTAAGAAAAAATCAAGGCACTTTATTTATTCAGAAACTAGGTGTTTAAGTAAAATGAGAAAAAATATATATATTCAAGTTACACAATTTCAAGTGAATGGTCCAATATTGATAGTCAGTCTTTTATGACATAGATAAATATGATCATCACAAAGTCTGTGTCTTGCTAAGCCAGCAGCCCCCCGTGTATGCTTATATTTCCATCTCCACTGTGCGTAGCACGGAACTGGGAAGACTATCCACTGGGAAAACTAAAAGAAAGGTTATTTATTGTTCTTAGTTTTGCTGACATAAAATATCCAATTTATCAGGCTGGATGGATAGTTCAGTAATTAAGCATGATTCCTGCTCTTCCAGAGAACCTGAGATCAATTCTCAGCATGCATAGCAGACAGCTTATACCTGCTTTCTAGCTTCAGCTGCAATGGGATCTGATATCTCTGGCCTCCACAGGTACCTGAACTCACACGAAAATACTGTTCCCCACTTCATAAACACACACACACACACACACACACACATATCTACAGAGATACATATAATTAAAAATAAATCTTAAAAAGTTGTGCAATGGCCAAATGATATGCTTATCAGTGTTGGTGGTTCATGATGACAGCAGTAAAAGGAGAAGAGTATTTGCAGTGTGTGGATTAGAAACAGAATCAAGTTACTGAATCTATTTTTATTTACGTACTGGTGCTCATCTTTTCGAAATCCAATTGCTTAAGTACATTCAATGTTAATTACAGTACTTAGGATCCATTCAAGGAGAACAGCTTTCCGATTCTCACCCGTATCTGTTGGGTCTTGATCCTGTATATTATGGGGTTCATCAAGGGTGGGAAAATTATGTAAATGCTGCCCATGAGAACATGAACTAGTGGGGACAGGTGCTTCCCAAAACGATGCACCATGGTCAGACCAATGATAGGGATGTAGAAAACTAAAACAGCAGAGATGTGTGATACACAAGTCTGCAAGGACTTGATTCTCTCCTCCCTGGATGCAATGGATGAAACAGTGTGCAGGATCAGGACGTAGGAGGCAAGAATGAGCACTGAGTCCAGCAACAGGGTGCAGATCACGAGAGACAGAGCATAGATGCTGTTGAAGCGAATGTCTGAACAGGCCATTCGAATTAAGTCTTGGTGGAGGCAGAAGGAGTGAGAGAGGAAGTGAGGACGGCAGTAATGTAAGAACTTCAGGCGGATGATGACTGGAGGGCTGAGCATTGAACTCCTACATAAAATTGCCACCCCAATTTTCATGATTTTATCATTGGTCTGGATGGAGGAATAGCGTAGAGGGTTGCAGATGGCAATGTAGCGATCAAAGGACATGGCCAGGAGCACAGAGGACTCCATGAAAGACAATCCATGAATGAAATAAGACTGTGCAATGCAGGCATCAAGGCTGATCTCTTGAATGAAACCCCACAGGATGCCCAGCACTGTGTGCACAGTGGACAGCCCCATGCACATGTCGGTGAGGGCCAGCATGGCGAGGAAGTAGAACATGGACTGGTGCAGGCTCGGCTCTGTTCGGATCACATGCAGCACCAGGCAGTTTCCCAGGAACACGGTTATATAGATGGAAGTGAAGGGGATGGCAAACCAGAGAGAGTAAACTTCCAGGCCAGGAAACCCAGTGAGGACAAACCTGGACGTACTGAAGTTTGACAATGAGATATAAGACATTGATAGAAAGTACAAAATTTTTCTTGAGCGATATTCTAAATCATACAGTTTTCTGATATCCTAATTTTGAATAACACTTATCTGCTTTGGTTGGGAAATCGTAATGGAATTTCTACGAGCAGCAAAATAGAGATATAATCGTTTGTTATCATCCCCAAACCCAGACTACATGTTGAAGGAAAACAGTTTTATGAAGAATTGTTAATTCCCCTGAGCACTTGGGTCTTAGATTGTACACTATACTTTGAGGAGTCTTTCCAGTCCTAAAGGACAGCCGTGCTTGGTCGCTGATGCACCGTTTGTACATCCCTCAAGAGAATTTGAGATGTGTGAACAATTTTTCTCTCTAGTATTAGAGCTGAAATTTCATTTCCTTCAAGGGTGGGGCCAGTGGGGGAGGATTTGGTGGTGTTTAAATACCATCAAATTATAGTGTATAAAAGAGTAAAATTTCAATTAAGAATTTTGTTCATTGCTCCTGGAGTTTAAAATAGCCTAACAGATCCTGTGTAATTCTAATCTTTGTTGATTTCTTCTGGTGCATCTCCTTATATATGATTTTTTCATATTTTTGTATTGGTTTAAGATCTTAGAACACAATAAGTCTATAGGTATATGCTGTTTCTTTGCTTTTTTTCTTGAGACAATATATTGCTACAAACTGAAGTTGACCTTCAATTTATAATCCTTCCTCTACGTCCGGAGTGCTGGGTTACAGCTGCATGCTACCACGTCAGACTTAAACTTGGGGTTGTACATTTATTGCAAGCAAATTTATCTTCCATAATATTATTTAACGTTCTGCATATATGATTCATTTTGTCTTTGATTTTGGAGAAATAATGTAGTCGTTCAAACTTCCAAAATTTTCCTTCCCCAGTTATACGTTCTTTTCTTCAGATTCTAATTTGGAAAAGTTACAACAAGAGAGACATACACAGGTCTCTGATGTTCTGTCTGTTTTTTCCAGATGCTCCTTTTCTGTTCCTCTTCCTCCTCTTTCTTTCCCTCTTGTTCCTGCTTCGTTTTCATTTCTCCTTCTTTGTCTTCTTGCCCTCACTCACTATTATATTTATTTTAATACTAAAATCTTCAACTCTAATATTTTTTAGTAAAAAGCCCATGAAGTAATTTTTCATCCCTATTTAATGTAATTTTCTATTTCTAGCATGTTCCGTTGATGTTTTTATTGCATTTGCAGCTTGGGAGGTCAAATTTTCCACCTCACATTATACTATCATTTTTCTATAATTGATTTTAATGTATGAATTACAGATTATTTCATTTACAGTCATATTGCTCTAAAATCACAGTTGTATTTGAGTGTAGTCTCTGTGAGTTCAGGTTCTCTATTCTGGCAATGCTGGAGACATCAGAATTTCTCTCAGTACCTGAAACCTGTCCAAAACATGAGACATATTCTAGTACTACCTACAAAACATATACTTTGATGATTTTCTCTTGCAGATGGGATTAATTCACATATTACATTCTATTGAGTAAGGTATCTTGTTGGCCATGGCAATGGATTGCTTTGTGACAATCTATGATCTTCTGAGCTTGCAACCAGTTTTTATCCACTGATTCACTCAGAAACGGGTTGGAATCACAGATCAATCCTTCCTGTATTTCCCCATCATGTTCTCATCAAATGTCATTTGAAGTTCCACTGGATCGCTGTCATCTCCCATTCCTAGTGTGAGCACAAGGCCATTGAAAAAGTGATGGTAGAAAAAGATGCTCACTTCAACAGGATGTGTCGTCTGTTTGTCCCAGTATACTTGGACTGGATGTAATCTTCATCTAGCTCTCCATTTGGATCATTATAATGGTCTTCAGTCTGCCTTTGAAGGAATCCTACAGTAGCTTCCATCTGTTGCAAAAAGAAGCTTCTTTGATGAGCGGTGTATGATATACTTGTCTGTAAATAAAAGAATCCATATTTAGCATATGGTAAGAAATTACATTTGTCTAGAGATATGACCATAGAAAGACAATAAATACTGTTGAAGCAGATGTCTGGACAGGCCATTCAGAACACATCCTGGTACAGGCATTGTGAATGAAAGAGGGTGGGATGATGGACATGATTTTAGAAGTTCAGGTGAATGATGACTGGTGAAAGGAACAAAAATCTATCCCCTAAGACTCATATCCCAACTTTCACATAGCATCGAGGATGGCAAATAGCAATGTAATGGTCAAAAACATAGTAAGGAGGACAGAAGACTCCCTTAAAGAAAAGCCATGAATGAAATAAGACTGTGCTTTGCAGAAATCAACACATCTCTTCAGTGAAGCCCCTCAGGAACTCCAGAACCATGATCACGGTTGACAATAGCATGCATAGGTCCGTGAGGGCCAGAATGGCCAGGAAATAGAACATGGGCTGGTGCAGGTCTAGCTCCATTGGGATCACATGAAGCACCATGTAATTTCCCAAGAATTCTACTGCATGGATGGATGAGTAAGGGATGGCAAATCATAGATATTAAACTTCCAGGTTAGGAAACCCAGTGGGAATAAAACTTGAAATAATGCAGTTTGAGATGGAGATAGTAGACACTGTTAGAAGGTATAGGACACAGAGTTATTGTAAATCCTACATATTTCTAAGTCCTAATTTCTAGTGATGTTCATCTGCACTGGGAATAAATAACATGATACAATATTTATAAACAATAGCATAGAGACCCTATCCTTTATTGCTTTCACAAGGACTTGTCTGAACATCAACTTTTCAGTACTAATGTTGATGAATCGCCAGAAATCAGGCAGAAATAATAATACATATCAGGCTTAGATTGCAGAATAAACTTTTCGTAGTATTTGTGTGTCCTAAATGATGTCAGTGCCTGGTCACAGGTGCAGAATGTTGATGTAGTTGGCATTGTTCTCAGGAGTTTGTGAAATGCCCAGGGAATTTCCTTCAAGTATTGTACATGTACCTTTTACTTTCTCAAAGGGTTGGATGAAATCTGTGATAAACAGCCTTATTGAAGTTATGTAGCTTTGAAGAATATAAAAATTTAGAAAACAGAGACTAATAAAACAGTAGGTTATGTTTACCTAGAGATAGTTTAGTGCTCTAAATTATTCACTTTTTATTATATTTTGGATTTTTCTATATCTTCATGATAGTCTTTAATCTGTTCGAATCCTAAGCATTTTCTGAATATGAGAATCCATACTAATCCTTATCACACTCTATATTTATTATTTTTATTTTATATGTGTGAGTGTTTTGCTTGCATTTATTTGTGTTCCTGTCTCATGTAATATTTGAAGAGACCAGAAGAGGGGGTTGATTTCCTGGAACTAGAGTTCCAGATGATTGTTAGCTGCCATGTGGGTGCTGGGAATTGAACCCGGGTCCCCTGCAAGGGCAGCAAGTGCTCTTAACCACTCAGCCAATTCTGCAGCTCCTACATTATTTCTTACAATCCCCACGTATAATTAACTTGCAAATTAACATTGATCATTTTCTAACAAATACTTTAAGGTGCATCTCTTATCTACTGATGAATAATTAAATAGAGATAGAAAATATAGATCATATGCTCATACTGCATGCTTACATTAATGAACGGGTAGTAAAGTAGACCAGTCTGGACCTTCCCTTCTATAGAGTCTTGCCCATGATTGAATAATATCAGAAATGTGCATATATTGAAAGAATAAAATAGTATGCATATGTTTCTTTAGTTAAGAAAATCTGCATTATTCCAGCTTGGAAAATGATGTAGGGATTCAGAATGGAATTTGCTTTCTACAGAAGACTATCAGATATATTTGTATAATTGTGATTATTTTTCCATACATCCTTTTACTTTTAGTATTTTCTTTATCTGACCATTTGAAATGATTTTCTCAGTTTTACTATGATTTTTGCATTTTAATTGGATTTTTGTGATTTTTATACAATATAGTTTGATGGCATCTCGATCCACTCTTCTCTCTCTACCTTCTCCTACTTCCCACCACCCAGGTTAATGAACTCTCTCTCTCTCTCTCTCTCTCTCTCTCTCTCTCTCTCTC